ATACAAAAGTCAACTGGGAGTCGTGGTGGCACGCCGGTAGCCCCAACTACTAGAGAGGCTGAGGTGGGAGATCGCTTGAGCCCGGGAGGCAAACGTTGCAGTGAGCTGACATTGCACCACTGCACTCCAGGCCTGGGCCACAGAGCAAGACCCTGTCTCCAAAAAAAAGATGTTTTTTTGTAGAAATGTAAAATGTCTCTATATTCCATTTTAAACTTCTTTAAAAACAGAAAAAGAATAGTAGCAAGTTACTTTATTGGCCTATTAGGGAATGGAATAGCTTTTCTGATCATTTCTTAACTGTTTGTTTTCAGAAAATGGATTTAAATGTAAAATCTAAGAAAAAAATAAAACACTTGGGAAGTAAATGTGCATGAACAATTTAAGGAAGAAACATACATTATTTTACAAACTATTTGCTCTGTTTTGTATTTTTGCCTATAAAGGAGCAACTTTATACTGAATTTGTCCATTACATTTAATTATATATTATTAACACAAGTATAGGGAATCTATCACAGCTATCCCTTCCAGAGTTGAAAAATTCCAAACTTTCGTAGTATTTGAGTAAACCTCTGTTGTTTTGAGAGTTCAAGAAATGCTTCAGAAACTAGTTTAATCTCGCATCCTGATTCGGTATGTAGATGTGAACAACTTGAAAGACACATTTGGCCCCATTTCCTGTTTTCCAAACTTCTCACTACCAACTATAACTGTAATCTAAAAGTTGGCATCCACTCCATATTTAATATCCTGTATATCGTATTTTCTAGGCAGAGGTTTTCCAGTACTTAGAGGAAGCGTGGACAAGATCTTCACCGAGAACGTTATTAAATCCCATGTGTGCCTTGCGTGAAAAAGTAGACTTTCCCCTTTCTGTCTGGAATTCACATTAAGAACGCAATGCACTCCGAAAGAACAGGACTGCTTTTAGGCAAGGTCCAAAGGACCCAAATTTTCACGTTTGCGTCCTCTTCTTATTTCCCTCAAAGGTAAATTTTCACTTATTTGTCGTCTCGTTCCCCGACAGGAGATCTCTCCCATTCTACTGGGGCAGAACTGCTACTTCAGCCGGAGAGGGCAGATGTTAATTACTTTCCTTCAGAGGGGGAAACCGGGGAACATTGATTAAAGGCTGGAGGGCTGGAGAGAGAGTAAAAAATGGTCTGTCCTAGGACTTCAGCTCCACCTGATTGGGGCCCAGCCTTCCCAGCCCTCGTCCCCACACCGGCCGCTCCATGTGAAACCGATCATGTGAGCCTGTTTACAGCACAGCAGCTGGTGCAACCATTAGGATCCGTGCAGAGGTCCAGGGAGGGGGAAGGATATAGGCCACGCAACCCCTACACCCTACCCCATTATTCCAAGAAGGCGTTTGCTCTCCCACCCCGTCTCTCCACCCCACTTTCATCTCCCTCCAGCCAAAGAGAGCAGAGCCGAGGATATCCCGGGACGCCTCGCTCCAGCCCAGGCGATTTCCTTCAAGTTGCTCGCTGGGGCTGAGCTGGAGGAAGGGCGAGGACCGTGTCACCCCAAACAGAGTCAACCTCCCTCCCCCAGCCCTCCTCTCTGCGTCCACCAAAGAGTTGTCCCTAGAGCCGCATCCCCGGGGCAACCAAACTCCGCTGGGCAGGATCCCGAGCCTGCCTTTGCCTAGGCAGGAGCAAGCCACACACTAGCTGGCCAGACCCCGGGGCCGGGCGTTGCGGGCAGAGGGTCCACTGCCAGGAACACACGGGGCAGGAAAAGACCCCCGCCGCCTCCTCCCCGCCGCCCACCCGCATCCCGGCGCCACGAAGCACCGCTGTCAATCACAGAGCCAAGCTCCGGCTGTGGGGATGGGTCATTCTTTGGCGGGGGGCTCTCAGCCACGTAACTTCCACGTTTTCCCGAAGTCAGAGGAAGTGGGTGACGGGACGGTGGGGGACTCTCACCTCGGCAACACCGGCTTCCTCGGAAAGCAGCTGCGACTGCTCCTCCGCTCCTTTGTCAGCGTCTCTAGGCTGCACTGCCTGCTGGGATACCGGAGGACTCAAATGCCACTTCTCTCCGCCCTCGAGGATGAGCCACGGTTTGGGGGTGGGAGGCGGGAAGGAGAAGGGGTGGAGCCGGGGGCGGGGCCAGAGCCCGGGACGGGGCTTCGGTCTTGCCACCTGGCCTCTCGGGGTTTCTTCCTTGATACTCCAAACTTCTTCCTTCTCTGTCCTCTGGTCATTCCCTCCCCTGCCGTCTTCGCTACAAGTGACAGCCTGGAGGCTCCCACAGAGGGTTCTGTCTCTCTACCTCTGCGCTCATTAGGCAGTCCCTCTTGCCTCCTGTCCTGTCTCACTGCCCTGCACACAGGCATCCAGTGAGTACTCAAGGCTAGTGGTTTCCATTAATGCTCTGAGAGGTGTCTTGTTGATCGCCTCTGGCTCCACCCCATCTCAGAACCCCTTTAGGCCCCATGACTTTTTGCTTGGACTCCTTCGGTAGCCTCCTGTTTGGACTCTACTTCCACTCTTACCTCAGTCTTAACAATCTCCCAGCCAGCAGCCAGAGGGATTGATCTAAGATGTATACATGGCCCACGTTGCTTTTCTCCTTAAAACCTTTCAGTCTCAACAGTACCTATAACACCTTAGCATGGATATCAAGTGGGCCGAGGAGGGTGGATCCCTTGAGGTCAGGTGTTCAAGACCAGCCTGGGCAACATGCGGAAACCCTGTTTCTACTAAACATACAAAAATTTGTCGGGTGTCGTGGCTCACGCCAGCACTTTGGAAGGCCAAGGCAGGCAGGTTACTTGAAGCCACGAGTTCAAGACCAGCCTGGCCAACATGGCAAACACCATCGCTACTAAAAATACAAAAATTAGCCAGGTGTGGTGGTGCACGCCTGTAGTCCCATCTACTCTGGAGGCTGAGGCATGAGAATCACTTGAATCTGTGTGGTCCCAGACTGCAGTGAGCCAATATCATTGTGCCACTGAATTCCAGTTTGGGTGTCGGAGCCAGGTGCTCTCTCTCAAAAAAAAAAAAAAAAAAAAATTGAGACATAGAGGTTGTACATATTTTCAGAGTTCAACTGATATTTTGATATGTTCATATAATGTGTAACAGTCAAATAAGGGCACTTGGAATACCCATCACCTCAGAAATTCATCTTTTCTTTATGCTGAGAAAATTTAATTTTTTCTCTTCAACCTATTTTGAAATATACAGTAAATTACTATAAACTATAGTTATCCTACTGAAGTATCGAATATTAGCTGTCATTCCTTCTGAAACTATAAGACTACTAGAAAAACATACTGAGAGGCCAGGCACGGTGGCTCACGCCTGTAATTCCAACACTTCAGAAGGCTGAGGCAGGCACATCACGAGGATCGAGACCATACTGGCCAACATGGTGAAACCCTGTCTCTACTAAGACTACAAAAATTAGCTGGGCGTGGTGGCATGCACCTGTAATGCCAGCTATTCAGGAGGCTGAGGCAGGAGAATCCCTTGAACCAGGGATTTGGAGGTGCAGTGAGCCAAGATCGCGCTTCAGGATAGTGCAAATATTTTTGGGGTAAGACTGCAGAAGCACAGACAACAAAAGCAGAAATAGACAAATGGGATTACATCAAGCTAAAGAGCTTCTGTACAGTAAAGGAAACACTTAATAAAGAGAAGAAACAATCTACCAAATGAGAAAAGATATTTGCGATCTTGGCTCACTGCAGCCTCAACCTTTTGGGCTCAAGTCATCTTCCCACCTCAGCCTCCCGAGTAGCTGGGACTATAGGTGCATGCACTCATGGCTGATTTTTGTATTTTCAGTAAAGACGGGGTTTCCCCATCTCGAACTCCTGGCCTCAAGTGATCCGCCCGCCTTGGCCTCCCAAAGTGCTGAGATGCCACCAACTCTGGCCTGGAGGTCATTATCTTAAGTGAAATAAGCCAAAGACAGAAAAACAAATATTGAAATTTACTCATTGTGGGAGTAAAAACGTGGATCTCATAAAGATAGATAGTAGAGTGGCAGTTATTAGAGTCTGGGCATGGGGAGGGGAGAAGGGGGCATTGAAGACAGGTTGATTAATGGGTACAAATATTTTCTCCCATTCTGTAGATTGTCTCTTCCCTTTGTTGAATGTTTGCTTTGCTGTACAGAAGCTCTTAAGCTTGATGTAATCCCATTAATCTATTTTTGCTTTTGTTGTCTGTGCTTTTGCAGTCTTACTCAAAAAAATATTTGCCCTGAAGCATTTCTCCAATATGTTCTCCTTCTTCTTCTCCTTCTTCTCCTCCTTCTCCTTCTCCTTCTTTTTCTTCTTCAATTTTTGAGACACAGTCTTGCTCTGTCCTTGGTCACCAGGCTGGGAGTGCAATGGTGCAATCTCGGCTCACCTCCACCTCCACCTCCCAGGTTCAAGTGATTCTCCCGCCTCAGCCTCCCGAGTAGCTGGGATTACAGGTGCCTGCCACCATGCCTGACTAATTTTTGTATTTTCTTTTTAGTAGAGATAGGGTTTCGCCATGTTGGTCAAGCTGGTATTGAACTCCTGATGTCAGGTGATCCACCCACCTTAGCCTCCCAAAGTGCTGGAATTACAGGCATGAGGCACTGCACCTGGCCTCCAATGTTTTTTTAGTAGTTTCTAGTTTCAGGTCTTAGATTTAAGTCTTTATTTTTATTTGACTTTTTTATATGGTGAGAAACAGAGGTCTAGCTTCATTTTTCTGCATATGCTTATCCAGTTTTCCTAGCACCATTTGTTGAAGAGGGTGTCCTTTCCCCGAGGTATGTTCTTGGCACCTTTTTTCAAAAATGAATTGGCGGTAAATGCATGGACTTTTTCCAGCGTTCTCCATTCTGTTTCATTTGTCTATGGGTCTGTATTTATGCTGGTAGCATGCTGTTTTGGTTACTATGGCTTTGTAACCAAAGTGTATTCTGAAGTAAGGCAGTGTGATGCCTCCAGCTTTGTTCTTTTTGCTAAGGATCTCTGCAATCCTCTTCTTCTTTTTTAAAAAAATATGGAATGCTTCATGCATCTGTGTGTCATCCTTGTGCAGGGGCCATGCTAGCCTTCTCTGTGTTGTTCCATTTGTAGTGTATGTACTGCCAAAGCAAGCACTGCAATCCTACACTCTAGCCCAATACATTTGGACATCCATGTCTGATTTGTCCCAGCAGGATCTGGGACAAATCAACTGGCACTGGCTACAGCAAATACTCTTCCTTGAAAGGAGGCCACACTGTCAGTAACTTTCATCGGCTCCTTGGAGTATAATTAAAGATACAGTTTTCAAAATTAAATTGTAATGATGTTCAGAGGAAGAGTAAGGTGAAGTGTTGACTGATCCCCTCTCCATAAGAAAAAGGCCCAAAGAATTCTCCCCAGTTGCCCCACCCAAGCTGCCAGTAGATCTTCCTTAGGCTCATGCCTCTGATACCTTTGTTCACAGATCTCCTCAATTTATAATGCCTTTCTCTGTCTTTGGAATACCTATTTATCTTTCCAGGCCCAATGGAAATGCTCCTTCCTCCAATAACCTTCCAGGTTAGTTTGAGAACTATTAACTCCTGCTCCATCACCATAGAATGTTGCTTAGTCTGCTTTGCAATTCTTCTTAACTTGGGTAATCACTAGTCATGTGTATATCTTCCTTTCTCTTCTACCTAGACTATGAATTCTTCAGGCTGCCAGCACAATGCCTAATCCGGAAATGACATTAATACCATTTGATGAAATAAAACCCTTCGTCTCCACTGCATCTGAAGCCAAGTAGGCCCAGAAAGGATCCTAGGCAAGGCCTCATACAACAACCACACACCCTTCCCTAGGACATCACCAACTTGACCTGGCCACGTGTTGCTTTTGCAAACACAAACTGGTTAGGCAGCAGGGCATTGCAAAATGACCAAGGCTTGTACTTCCCTTGCAGGTCAGACTGGTTTGTAGTATAACATGTGGTTGTGGAAAATGTAACTGGTACAGCTCATGTAAGAAACCAGTATAGAAAAATTGTGTGGTGCCAAAAAAAACAATTGAATTTCCAAAAGGAGACATATCTGTCACCTCTAGGAGGCTTCTGACTCCTGTTTGCTTTAGATTACCCTTGGGCTCGACATCCCTTCAGATCTTATAAATTGGAAGATTTCTTCTTTTGCAAAAATGGGCATCTTGCTTTGTGTTGTTCTTGCATCATTTAAGATACATTTGCTTTCTTTCCAATTATATCACAAGTGACACTCCAGCAGGGTTTCCTCATTTCTAAAATGGAGACAAGAATCCTTGGCCTACACAGTTTACCAGGCTCTTAGGAGGTTCTAATGTGGTAATGTACATGGAATAGGTCAGTGGTCCCCAACCTTTTTTGGCACCACTGACTGGTTTCGTGGAAGTCAATTTTTCCATGGATGGGGGTGGGGATGGTTTTGGGATGAAACTGCTCCACCTCAGATCATCAGGCATTAGATTCTCATAAGGAGTGTGCAACCTAGATCCCTCCCATGTGCAGTTCACAGTTGAGTTTGCACTCCTGTGAGAATCTAATGCTGCCACTGATCTGACAGGAGGTGGAGCTCCGGTGGTAATGCTTGCCCATCCATGCCTCACCTCCTGCTGTTCAGTCTGGTTCTTAATAGACAAGGGACCAGTGGCATTGGTAATAATGTAAACCACAAGATGTTCTTCAAACTAAGTTCTGTTTTATTATTATGTTTTTAAAAATCTTGACACTGTACTACTTAGGCATGAGTGTTTCAGATGACAATTTTGAGAATCAAAGGCTTTATTGCAAATGACTAGGAATAATGCTTCTAATCATGGTTTCCCAAATCTGTCGAGGATGTGAATTGCCTGGAGCCCTTGTTAAAAACAGATTCCAAGATCCTATCCCAGTCCTGCTGAGTACTAATTTCCAGGAGAAAGATAAGATTAACAGTATAATTAGGAATGAGACCAGCTGATTCTTTTTTTCTTTTCTTTTTTGAGACAGAATCTTGCTCTGTCGCCCAGGCTGGAGTGCAGTAGCACGATCTCAGCTCACTGCAACCTCTGCTTCTCAGGTTCAAGTGTTTCTCCTGCCTCAGCCTCACATGTAGCTGGGACTACAGGCGCCTGCCACCATGCCTGGCTAACTTTTGTATTTTTAGTAGAGTTGGGGTTTCACCATATTGGCCATGCTGGTCTCACACTCCTGACCTTGTGATCCACACTGACCTTGTGATCCACTGGCCTTAGCCTCCTAAAGTGCTGGGATTATAGGAGTGAGCCACCACACCCAGTCAAGAGACCAGGTGATTCTTACCCTACGGCAAATCTGAGAAATACTCATCTGGGAGATAAAGTGTATAAATGACTCTACAAGTCATTCATGTATCAGAATGGATTCGTTAGGATTATTTCTGGGCAAGGCCTTTCAGATAAGGAGCAATCAAAACTATGGAACGGAGCTTGGAAGGAAGCTGCAGCAGGGCCAGACAAACTTCCCTCACAATTGTGCCTGCAGCTAGTATGTACAAGACCTTCCCCTGGAATTTCCTTGTCTTTGCCCCAAGCTCTTAGAACTGGTTTGAGGAGCTATGTGATTTGCAGATAATATCATTTACCATTTGAAGTCAAAGTGTAACACAGGGGCCTTTACTGCCTCAACTAATTGGTGATGTTTCAGATATTTCCTTTTTTTTTTTTTTTTTTTTTTGAGATCAGAGTCTTGCTCTGTCACCCAAGGCTGAAGTGCAATGGCTCGATCTTGGCTCACTGCTACCTTTATCTCCTGGATTCAAGCGATTCTCCTGCCTCAGTCTCCCGAGTAGCTGGGATTACAGGCACACGCCACCATGCCTGGCTGGTTTTTGTATTTTTAGTAGAGATAGGTTTTCACCATGTTGGTCAGGCTGGTCTTGAACTCCTGATCTTGTGATCTGCCTGCCTCGGCTTCCCAAAGTGCTGGAATTACAGGCATGAGCCACAGTGCCCGGCCTGTTTCAGAAATTTCTTAGTGCCACAGTGGCTTTATCCAACCAGTGCTCCTACTAGATCCCTCTCTCCAGAGCTCTCCCAGCTCCCTGGGCAGACCTCTTTCATAGCTCTTAAGCACAGTGCTGTCATTGTTTTCCTGTTTGTCTCTTAAGCGGTGAGAACTGGACTTGAGCTTATCACATTATGAGGCCCACGGGATGCAAAGGTGAAATTGTCTGTTTACTCTGCACCTCACCTAGTTGACTGGAAGGTTATTGAGGGCAGTCATTCTTCAACTGTGTATCCACCCTTAAGTCCTAGCCTCCTGTCATGCACAGAGTCATCCATCAGGAAATATTTGTTAGAGTGAATGGGGAGGATTGTGGTGGCTCACGCCTGTAATCCCAGCACTTTGAGAGGCTGAGGCAGGTGGATCACTTGGGGTCAGGAGTTTGAGACCAGCTTGGCCAACATGGTGAAACCCCATCTTGACAAAAACTACAAAGAAAAATAGCCAGGCATGGTGGTGAGCACCTGTAGTCCCAACTACTTGAAAGGCTGAGGCATGAGAATTGCTTGAACCCAGGAGATGAAGGTTGCAGTGAGCCGAGATTTCACCACTGCACTCCAGCCTGGGAAACAGAGCAAGAGTTCATCTCAAAACAAACAAAAATAGTGAATGATCTCCCTTTTGGTAAAGCCTATGTTAGTTACTTCAGGATAGATGCAGAGTCCGCTAGGCATGGGCACTGGCAGTCTTAGGACTCGGACTCAGTGAGTGGCTACTGTTCATAGCCTTTATATAGGTGTGCTATTTTTGAGCTGAGGTGAGTTTGAGAAGGCCCTTATGAGAGGAGTGGGGAATATTGCTTAGTTCTCCCATTATCTTGAGGCAAGGGCTGGAGACCAAAAGATGTGGCTAAAACAGGGTTGGACACCAACAAGGCTTCAGCTGCATTCTCATTAGCTGACAATCCAGACATATGGTCAATCCAGCCATAAAAAGGTATTAAAAATCACACCTTTAATCCTAGACTGTTCAGACATATTTCATTTCCAGTCAATTTTGGTAGCCTTTGCCCAGAGCTCGTCTCCTGTTCTTTCTTGCCATAGCTCAGTTTGGAAAAAAATTGAGGAACAGGAATCATAATTGCAGTCATTCAGTGGCAAGAGCAGACAATAGAGACACATTTTAGTTGCCCAGAGCACTTTTTGTAAAAGTAGGAACTGATTTCCGTGGTTGCATTAGTTAGCTGTATGACATCAGGCAAATCCTTTCTTCTTCCTGGGCCTTGAAATTCACTTCATACAATGAAGTTGCTGGACTAGAACGAGTTTGTGGCAGGCCTGGCCAGAAATTTCTGTTCAAGGTCCTGGAACTAGCCTTTCTCCTGTCTTAATTCCTTGTCCAAGCTTATAAGAACCAAACCACAGAGAAACTGTCCTGTATTTCTCATCACTCCTACCTCATGACCCATGTAAATCCTACCCCATGACCCATGTAAATCCTACCCCATGACCCATATAAATAAAAATGAACATTTTTTAAAAAAATGTTTAAAAAAAAAAATCAAGAACACTTGAATTGCCTGCTAGATGTCAACACTACGTATGAACGACTTTGTTTTAGTCTTTAAATAGTGGGAGCATTTTCCATGCTCCAGAGCTTGGGTGGTTTCAGGGATGCCAAAAGCCCTATGACTTAGTGAGCCTGTGGGAAGAGCTAAAGATGGTTTTTCAGCTTCTGTAGTAGCAACCAGGGTACCTGTGCTCTCTGTACCTGTCAGGTTACAACACTGTTACGCAAGGCTATCATCTATTCACCATGCTAGAGAAAGATGACCAAGACAAGGAGAAAGTTCCCAGTACAAGGCATAGTATTAAGGGGAAAGAAAGAAAACTAAGGAATTCCTTGTGAATCTAGAAAACAACCATGGAATGAGGCCTGTGAGGCAGTGTGGTTCACTGGAAGAAACAGTCATGAGCTGGAGAAACTGGGGTAAGTTGCTTAAATTGAGCTGAAGCCTATGCAACATGGCAAATCCCTTCTCTACTAAAAATACAAAAAGTTAGCCGGGCATGGTGGCACATGCCTATGATCCCCGCTACACGGGAGGCATGAGAATTGCTTGAATCTGGGAGGTGGAGGTTGCAGTGAGCCAAGATCG